TACCCATTCATCCATCCACCTACCCACCCACACACCCATCCATCCATCCATCCATCCAACCATCCATCCATCCATCCATCTATCCTTCTGCCCACCCACCCATCTATCTACCCATCCATCCAGCCTTCTATCCATCTACCTATCCATCTATCTGCTGTGGACTCATCTTGTTGTGTTTCAAATGATGATTATGATGATGATGATGATGATGATGATGATGATGATGGGTGTGTGGGTAGATGGATGAATGGGTGGGTAGGTAGGTAGGTGGATGGATAGGTAGGTAGATAGATAGATAGATAGATAGATAGATAGATAGATAGATAGATAGATAGATAGATGGGTGGATGGGTAGATAGGTAGGTAGGTAGGTTGATGGCTGGATGAATAGATAGGTGGATGGATAGGTAGATAAACAAATGGATGGATGGATGGATAGATGGAAGGATAGATGGATAGGTAGATGGATGGATGGATGAATGTATAGGTAGGTAGGTAGGTAGGTAGGTGGATGGATAGATGGATAGGTAGATGGATGGATGGATGGATGGATGGATAGATAGATAGATAGATAGATAGATAGACAGACAGACAGACAGACAGACAGACAGACAGACAAAGGGCTTTGATGGTGTCTTTATGGCAAGATAGAGTTGGACGGGATGACTTTTAGGGGTCCCTTCCAACTAGGATTCTATGATTCAGTGAGCCTGGATAGGTGGATGGATGGATGGATGGATGGATGGATAGGTAGAAAGATAGGCAGATAAATAGATGAATGCATAGATGGGTCGATGGTAGATAGAGGGATGGATGGGTAGATGGATAGATAGATATAGATGGATTGATAAGTAGGTTGATAGGTAGATGGATGAATGGTCAGGTAAATAGGTAGATAGTTTGATAGATGGATGGGTGAGAGGATTAGATAGTTAGTTAGATAGATGGCTGGATGGATCAACAGCTGGTGTTTTTAGGGCTGGACTGGATGGTTTTTGGGGTTCTCTTCCAACGCGAGGATTTCCATTTGCAGCAGATTCCTTTTTCTGGGTTAATGAGAGCAAGCTGCCTTCCTCCCTTCCTCCCGTATCACACGCATTTCAACGTGGCATTCATTATTAATTTCCTATTTATTAACCATGAGTCATTTCCGACTCATGGCAAACCGATTATGGGGAGATTTCCCTTTTTTTTTTTTTTTTTTGCTGAGGCTGAGAGAATGTGACTCACCAAGCGGGGATTCGAACCCAGGTCCCTCGAGGCATTATGATCTGATGCTGACGTTTGCAAAAGCAGTCCAAAGTTCTATATAGGGCTGAATGTATCCGACATCATCATCACTATATTTTTATCCTAAATGATGACTATTATTATTATTATTATTATTATTATATTGTTATTATTATTATTATTATTATTATTATTATTATTATTATATTTGCATCCCACATCATCATTGCTAGATTTGTATCATGATCGGTTATTATTATTATTATTATTATTATAGAATCATAGAATCATAGAATCAAAGAGTTGGAAGAGACCTCCTGGGCCATCCAGTCCAACCCCATTCTGCCAAGAAGCAGGAATATTGCATTCAAATCATCCCTGACAGATGGCCATCCAGCCTCTGTTTAAAAGCTTCCAAAGAAGGAGCCTCCACCACACTCCGGGGCAGAGAGTTCCACTGCTGAACGGCTCTCACAGTCAGGAAGTTCTTCCTAATGTTCAGATGGAATCTCCTCTCCAAGTGCCTGGGATTCGTTTCTCAATATTGGACTATTATTATACTTGTATCCTAGATTATCACCATTATTTTGCATCTCAGATAATCATTGTTGTTGTTATTATTTATTTATTTTGCATGTACATTTATTTATTTATTTATTTTGCACATGCCTGGGACTGATTTCTGAATATCAGGCTATTATTACTATTATATTATAATATTATATGATAGTATTATAGTATTATAGTACTATTATATTTATTATTATTTTATTTTATTATTATATTATATTATAAATTATATTATAGAATTATATTATAGTATTATAGTACTATTATATTTATATTTATTATTATTTTATTATATTATATTTATTATAATATTATATTGTTATATTATATTATATTATTTATTGTTATTATTGTATTATCTATTACTATTATATATCATTTTACATGTACATAGTACGGCACAAAAATACAATAGATCCAAGTGCCTGGGATTCGTTTCTCAATATTGGACTATTATATTATTATTATTAAATTATATTATATTATCATATTTATTCTTATTTTATTATTTTATATTATTATTATTTGAAACACAAGATTAGTACACAGCAAACAAGGTTATTATTATATTACTATATTTTATTATAGTATTATTTATTATTATTTTATTATCTTATATTATTATTATTATTTGAAATACAACAAGATTAGTACACAGCAAACAAGGTTACTATTATATTATTATATTTTTATTATATTATTATATTTTATTATCTTATATTATTATTGTTATTTGAAACTCAACAAGATGAGTACACCACTTTTATTTTATTGTAACATTATATTATTATATTATTTATTATTATTTTATTATCTTATATTATTATTTGAAATACAACAAGATTAGTACACAGCAAACAAGGTTATTATTATATTATTATATTTTTATTATACTATATTATTATATTTATTATTTTATCATCTTATATTATTATTATTATTTGAAACACAACAAGATGAGTACATCGCTTTTATTTTATTGTAATATTATTATATTACATTATATTATATATTATTATTATTTTATTTTATTTTATTTATTAATATTTTATTACCTTATATTATTAATATTATTATTATTTGAAATACTACAAGATTAGTACACAGCAAACAAGGTTATTATTATATTATTATATTTTATTATATTATACTATATTATTATATTATATTTATTACTTTATTATCTTATATTATTATTATTATTTGAAACACAACAAGATTAGCACACCGCTTTTATTTTATTGTAATTTTATATTATTATAATACTTATTATTCTATTATCTTTTATTATTATTATTATTATTATTATTATTATTATTATTTGAAATACAACAAGATTAGTACACAGCAAACAAGGTTATTATTATATTATTATATTTTTAATATATTATATTATTATATTATATTATTATCTTATATTATTTTATTATCTTATATTATTATTATTATTATTATTTGAAATACAAGATTAGTACACAGCAAACAAGGTTATTATTATATTATTATATTTTAATATACTATATTATTATATTATATTATTATATTTATTGTTTTATTATCTCATATTATTATTATTATTATTTGAAATGCAACAAGATTAGCACACCACTTTTATTTTATTGTAATATTATATTATTATTTTATTTTATTATATTATATTATTATTATTATTATTATTATTATTATTTGAAACAACAAGATGAGTACACTGCTTTTATTTTATTGTAATATTATATTATATTATTATATTATTTATTATTTTATGCAGGCGAAACGTCAGGAGAAAATGCCTCCAGAACATGGCCATATAGCCCGAAAAAACCCACAAGAACCTATTAATTTATTATCTTTTATTATTATTATTATTATTATTATTATTATTATTTGAAATGCAACAAGATTAACACACCGCTTTTATTTTATTGTAATATTATATTATTATCCTTTATTATTTATTATTACTTTATTATCTTATATTATTATTATTATTTGAAATACAAGATTAGTACACAGCGAACAAGGTTATTATTATATTATTATATTTTATTATCTTATATTATTAATATTATTATTATTATTATTATTATTATTATTATTATTATTATTATTATTATTTGAAACGTAACAAGATTAGTACACAGCAAACAAGGTTGTTGATGTTGTGATGATGATGGTTATTATTATTATTATTATTATTATTATTATTATTATTATTATTATTATTATTATTATTATTATTATTATTATCCTGGAAGGACAAACAAAATCAAAAGTTTGCAACTTTGGGGATTCAGCCAATCCCATCCTTGTCCTCTGCCGCCATCCAGTGGCCAAACTTGGAACTGCATTACAATCTAAGTTTAGAATTAGAAGTAGAATCACAATAACAATAATAATATAATGTTACAAAAAACCCTATTTTACCTTTTTTTTTCGACTTGATTTCTGCCCTTAGTTAAAGAAGCAACGCAACAACCTCATTCCTTAATGCACAGCTGCACCTGATAAGGTTTCATTAACTCCTTAAAGGGGCATCTACACTGGAGACTTAACCCAGTTTGATACCACTTGGATCTACTCAATGCAAGATCATTGCATTGTAGTTTTACAACACCTTCTCTGTTCAATCCCAGGATTGTACCAATTTTAGGATTCTATATCCTTGAGCCAGGGCATTTAAAGCGGGATTAAACTGCGTTAAAGCTACAGTGTAGCTGCACCCAAAGGTGGGATTGGCTCTTCAGGTTAACTGATTGCAAGGTATGCTTTCATTTTAATTGCAAACAAAACTTGCATTTAATTTGAACGAATTGCAAAAAACCCCCCAATTTTCATTTAATTTGCAAAAAATAATTGCAATCTTCATTTAATGAATTGCAAACTCTAATTTTTGCAAATACTTCAATTTAATTTGCAAAAATTAATTGCAACCTTCATTTAATGAATTGCAAACTCCACCTTCAGTTAATGAATTGCAAAAGAAAAACCCAACACCTACCTGCATTTAATTAATTGCAAACTCGACTAATTGCAAAATCCACCTTCCTTGAATGAACTGCAAACTTTGCAACTGGAAAAAAAGAGATTCCTCTCCAAGAAAACTACAATTCCCAGAATGCAAAGAGGCAGCAGATAGGAAGCTCTGCTCCTAAGCCTGCTGGGAAATGTAGTTTTATTTTCTTGCTGGGAAACAAGAACTGCATTTCCCAGAATGCACTTCGGGGGAGGAAAGGAGGAAGGAAACAGCAAGGTCAGAAGAAGAAGCACAAACAAGGGGGAAGGTGAGTGGCCAAGGGGTGGTTTGCATGGGGTTTGCCATTCAGACTGGCTTGCAATCCAGCAAATAGGCTGCAAAAAGCCTATTTGCTCCATGCATGATGATGGCATGCACACCCCATGTTGACATCTGGTGGCAGTGCATTGATTATCCATATGTATGGATGATGGCACTCTGCACATGCTCAGGAGCCCCACTTCCCAAATCCAAAATTGCTCCAG